AACAAACCCATGAATGGTTCTCAGCGGTACGTAGCCGTGACCGATATGGAACAAATTTCGGCATGAGGACTTTGTGGTTCCTGGTCACCTCAGCGGTATTTAGCCGCAGATTTTATGGAACTTTATGGACAACTTGGTCCAGGGTTTTGAACTACTTTGTGACCTGCCAGGAGAGCGCTTTTCTAAGGAAAGGTGCCTGAGACTAAGAGAAACAAAGCTACCTGAGAGCCAGGCAGAGCACACAGTATTGCGGCCACAGAAGCTACCGAAAGTTCAGGTCAGAACTTTACCACAGTGGCGTTTCCTCTATACTGCATGGATCGGAGTGCTATTTGGACAACTTGGGCGCTCAGATCAGGGCTGTGGGTGATGTAGGACATTTGGGGTTATTGTATGTTTTTATTATGTTTTGGGGTACCTTTATGTTTTGTGTTGAGCTCTCTGTTCCTGGGAGATAACTAACCTACCGGTCTTTAACTCAATTATTTCCTAGGCCCAGAGATTCCTGGGACGAGCTTGCGTTGTATTGTTTGGAGACCCCCTTCTGGGGTCTGTGCATAAAAGGGTGAGTTTAGCTCATTAAAATCAGTTGTACTCCCAGAACTATGTGTCATCTAGTTACTGGGAGCGGAAAGGGCTATTCACTGACCCGCTTCTTGTTCCAGCTCGTGGAGTATTCAGCGAGGAGAGTCATTGTAAGGTCTAGAGCTTCCTGGACTGTGTGTTGTCTAGTCACTGAGCTAGTGCTAGAGCTAGTCCCCTATCCTGTTCCAGGATGGAGAGGCTCCAGGAGTACCCCAATCAAGCCATGGTGACTGGGGCAGAAGCGCTGAGGTTTTCCCTGGTTCCAGCTAGGAAGCGATCATTGGCGGAGGTACAGGGAGCTCCACTACACTCACTACATACACTTTTTCTCTGTCCCAGACTATATAGCAGGAGCTTCTGCCTGATAGTAAGAAGGTTATAAGAAGAGTGGACCAGAAAGTACTATGGGATTGTCCTTAAAAAGCATAAAGCTAGTGCATCATTAGATACATTTATGCCAAACTCAGGGTGCTGTCTGCACAGTATGCCCTTGGTTGGTCAACCTCCATGATTGGCAGGCAGCCTGATGTTCATTCACGCCAGGCCCAATGGGCTCTTAATCTGGCCCTGGTTATAAAAAAAACACTATCAACTGCATTATAAGACTGCCAGTTGTGTTATAAGGTATACTGCCAGTTGTGTTATAAGGTATACTGCCAGTTGTGTTGTAAGGTAGACTAGCAGTTGTGTACTAAAATACACTGCCAATTGTGTTATAAGGTAAAGCGCCAGTCAGGGCCGGATCCAGAACCTAATCTCAGCAAGGGCACTGGTAGGTTATTTAAAGGATTAATCCAGGCACAATAACCACTACAGTTCTATGTAGTGGTTATGGTGTCAAGAGTGCAGTGGTGCCCTCACAGAATAAGTAGTCATACCGTTTTAGAACAGTTTGACAGCTTACCTAGAGTCTGCCGGGATAGGGGCTCTAGTAGGGTATAGGGGCAGTAGTGTGTGAGGGGTGCAGTATGTGTGTGTTGGTTGCATGGAGGGGTGCAGTGTGTGTGAGGGGTGTACTGTGTGTGAGTGGTGCACTGTGCCTGAGGGGTGCAGTCTGTGTGTGTGAGGGGTGCAGTTTGTGTGTGTTTGAAGGGTACAGTGTGTATGAATGTGAAAGTTATTGTGTGTGGGGGTAGGGGAGGGCAGATTAAAAAATATCTATATATATATATATATATATATGTGTGTGTGTTTGGTGGGTTTTTTTTAATTAAAATAAATAATCTTTAGATCTCCCTTCTTAGCTTTGCTTGGAAGGGGGGATCTTTCTCAATCCCTGGTGGTCCAGTGGAGAATCCCTGATGGTCCTAGTGGTGAGGGTGAGCTCTAGCATGCAGCTCCGGGGCTAGAGTTCACTCTTGCGAGATCCTGAGCATTGCCATAGTAACCACGGCAATGCTCCAAGCTCGTGAGAGGAGGACCTGGAGGAGCTGCAGGCTGAGCTCCTGGATCCTCTCTCCCTCCCCTGCCGGCTGCCCAGCAAAGTGCCTATGGAACGGTAAAGAAGATCTCTGATCTCCCCTCCGGTCCATAAAGGCACATAGCAGGGCGGGCCCTTGGATAGCACCGGCCCTGCAGTGGAGAGCATCGGCTCTCTGGGGGAAAAGGGCAGTTTCCCCGTTGCCCCCTCCTGGATCCACTATTGGTGCCAGTTGTGTGATAAGATAAACTGCCAGTTGTGTTATAAGGTAGACTGCCAATTGTTTTATATAGTAGGCTGCCAGTTGTGTTATAAGGTACACTGCCAGTTGTGTCACATGGTAAACTGTCAGTTGTGTTATAAGTTACACTGCCAATTGTGTTATATAGTAGGCTGCCAGTTGTGCTGTAAGGTAGACTGCCAGTTGTGTTATAAGGTAGACTGCCAGTTGTGTTATTATAAGGTACACTGCCATTGTGTTATAAGGTAGACTGTCAGTTGTGTTATAAGTTACACTGCCAGTTGTGTTATAAGGTAGACTGTCAGTTGTGTTATAAGTTACACTGCCAGTTGTGTTATAAGGTAGATTGCCAATTGTGTTATAAGGCAGACTGCCAGTTATTGCCAGTTGTATTATAAGGTGGAGTTTGTATATCTAATGCGATAGTGCTTAAATGGGATTAAACCACTATAGTGCACTGTATGTAATTTTAACAGGATGTTAATGATAGAATCAATGACCATCTCTGATCTAAAAAAATGTTAGAATTTCAATCTTAGCTTTCTTTTTTTACACACTGCATACATAGTTTGGACATGAAAGGTGTGGGTTTTTAATATATTTCTAATAAAATACAAAAAAAGGCTGAAACAATACTGGAAATTCCTGTTTAACATTAGCGACAGTGTAGATTACCCAATTAATGATCAGAAAAGCTACAAAGCACTAATATATCACCTATAGCAACACAATGGGCTATAAATGTGTTCAGTGGCTCTGGAAAAAGTGCAAACAAAATAAAGAACACAACATGACTTTGAAATGAGTTTTTGCTATAGATAAAGGAAAGAAAATATTTTACAAAGTTCAGACGATAAAGAAGAAAGTGAACTCGCACACAGACTAACAATGGAATATCAAGAGGTTTTGATTCAAGAGGTTTATAGTCTAAAGCTTTTTGAACAAGCAGAGCCTTATGGAAAGAGTATTGCCTTCTTAATGAAAAGATGATGACAGTGACCTCATAGTCCATTCTTCTATATAGGACTCAACTACACTAAAAAGCTGCAAAAAGTCAAATGTTTTTGCCAGAAAAGAATGAATACAGTAACATGGGCCTGTAGTTACAGGTGTATTTAACTTGTCACAAACATGCTGCAACAATGTTTGAAAACAGGCATCCATTTTTGGAAGAAGAAATAGCTAATCCCCGGCCAAGTCGTGGTGTGTTAATGACCTGGTTCTTTATTTCAGATGCTTTTCGGTAGGTGCCATGGATCTGCACACAAAGTATTTCATGTATCCGGCTTTCTATTAAGCATCAAAACCAGTTCGAAAATTATCTGAAGCATCCCACAGTTTAAGGGGTTACTCCAACCCAAAAACAGTGTTTTAGGAAAACATTGGTTTTAATTAGGATAGCTCTCTCTATCCTGCCCCAACATCCCCAACAAGTGCACTCTGAAGCCCTGTTTGAAAAACACAAAAGCTAAATAGTTCAAAAGTCCAAGTTAAGGGGCAAGTTAAGATCTTACGGGGTAAATCTATTGTAACGAGACATACAAAAATAGCAGGACTGTGATCTTTGTGTTAAATGGATTCATTCTGACAGTGTACTAAAATTAGTATATACACCTATTTCAAATCAGAATTCAAATCCAACCAAACGCGTAAATATGTAAAATTATGGCATTCTATCATAAATAATTTCTAAAATGGGGACAGAGTACATTATATTTAAAAACCTCAAGTATTTCAAATTTATATTAATATATATTAATCGCATAATGTTATTATTTCAACAACCTTTTGGACAAGCAAACATTTGACCAATAGCCAGTGCACATGAACCATTTGTAACCAATTTTAGATTGTTTTAATGCAATTTAGTTGTGTCTTGTGATTATATCTATCACAGTGCAGTTGGTACCTCGAGAAATGTAGTCCCTGAGTGGAGGTACTAGTTTTTTTTAACTAAAAAAAGGAAGATGACCCGCTCTTCTATGCTAAGCAAAGGTATGGACTCTTTTGGAGAGCGACAGATAATTCTGACTCAAGGCTGTCAGTTTGTAGTGAAAAGTTTGTACTGTGCTCGACCTTCAAACTTAGCAACCGTACCACAACATCAAAAGTCTATGAATTATTTGAAATCTAGTGGTGCCATGAACAAGCTTTTTTTTAGGCCTGTTGCCAATATCAAAACTTCATGATTTGTTGGAAACAAATGTATTATATTGCAGAAAAATGTTCAGGACATGCTTTCATGATTACTTGCTGGAGACATTTCAAGGATTTCTATTGAATTTTATTTTAGATTTTCAAATATAACTTGACATGATGCAGCCTAGATGGTTACCTTTAGGGTAGTTTTTACATAGGCAATAATTTGGTTTTCTTATTGAGGTATGAAGTAGTATTAAATATCTCCATTTGTCAAACAATCCCATTTGATTGGTCAAAGATTATACACAGAAAGTCAGACAATCGTAACATTTAATTCCAGTGAGAAATCACTATTTATTATAAAAATATATTTTTATTTCAGACATTATGCCGGTGAGTGCGCAGAGGAATTCACTTACATGATATACAATTAAGTTCAGAAAGCCTGGTGGGCTTATAAAGTCAAACATTAAATATATCAATTAGTTGGTTATTCTACTTTTAGCAAAGGGTCAAAGACAAAGGGCATATTCTGCATTCTTCAGTCTGGCTATTTTATAGCCTACGGAGATTGTTATCCACAAAAATGTTATTAAGACAAATATAGTCCTACTCTACCAAAAGTATTGGTGGGCTACATTACTAGCAGCAACATAGCTCAAACAGCAGAAGCAATAACCAAGGATGTTCTAGATACCACATGAAAAGATCCCATGGAGCTGTTAGGTGCCACCAGTAAATTGTTAAACAGCGTTCTATGCCTAGGGAGCAATTGGGGATCACATTTTTTTTACTGGTCCCAACCAGGAGCTTTCCAATTGTTGTCTAAATATAAATTACGAGATACTCAGACAGAATATTTTGGACAGCTTCAGGCTAAAAACTCTGCACGTTGTGGATAATACACTCAGTTCAATTTTCTGCCCTAACTTGAAGGAAAAACACCACCATATATCACCATCTATCTCCATGTACTAAATACCTCTAAGTTAATCAGAATTGGGTATCCCCCTTGGAGCCGGATTCAGGATGCCGAGGGCCCTAAGTATGGTCTTAAACTGGGCTCCTCCTAGAGCTCTGGTCTCTTTCTGTAAATAGTGGCCATGTGTTGTGTGTTGAGGAGGCTGAGAGCTGTATGGGTGGCTGAGTGTGCCTGTGCGTTTGAATGTTGTGTGTGCGAGTGTTTGAGTGGATATATACCTCCCTTCTGCTTACCTTTCCCTGGTGGAGAGACTTCCCTGGTGGTCCGATGGGGGAGCATTGTTGTCTACACTAATATCAGGTGCAGAAGACTTTAACAGCCCCTTGGCAGTCTGGTGCTCAGTCAGTGACACTGACACTCTGAGCCATCGATAAGTGGTCCTTGCTGCGATCGAGCTCAAGTGGCATTGGTGAAGACCCAATACTTCTTTGAGTAAATGAGGGGGGTCAGGTTAAAGCAGATTTTTTTTTATCTCCCTATTGGCTAAATGAAGGCCCCCTCACAACCAGCACAATATTGGCTGCCTAATCGGTGTCATAACTTTGAGTTTGCTCAAGTCCAGTAAAATAAAAAGTACAGCTTTCTCAAAAACACTTAGAGTGGTTGTTTTGTGTTTTAAAATAAGTGAATAACAAATCCAATCCACTGTTCATAAAACCCAAATCCACAACCCGTGAACAAACCTGAATGTGATGATATTCCTGGTTTGGCACAGAAGCTGTTTTCTTTTTAGTAAGACAACTGTGTACTGGAAGCTGGCTTCAAATGCTGGCTTATTAGTTGACCTAGGTTAGTTTTAAAGAACATTGTACTAATCTATGAGACCAAACACTGATTACAGTCCATGTTTAATGATATATTGAGATTTAAAAATCATTTGTGCCACAACAGAGAATTAAGAAAAACAACTATAAAATATGGGTAAATTGAGTTTTTAAAATGTCACCATTGGCGAGCCAGTCTTTGCAAACCATTCCTTCCCCCTTTCAATGACAACAAGAGCTTCACTAAATTCCCACTATTCATCAGTATTCATTGTCTTATGTGACTGATGTATGTATTATACAACTATAATACTGCAAGGCTAAAAAATATAAAAATAAAGTGATGTATTTGTTATTTCCAAATAATAGTCACAGGAGTCTCGCTTTTATTTAAGACACAGCTTCAGATGAAGTATTTCAACAATGGCTGCTGACATTCAGAGGTGGACGGGCGATTAATGTGAAGTACTTAATATCAATGTAGAAGAAACTAATGGCTTAGAACAATGTAGCTTTTTTCATTTAATTACAGCACTTTACATTCTTTTGCTACATGCCAGCCAAGATCTCGAATCTTACCGAACAAATTCATGTCTTGCTGTCTACATTGGGCAGACTTTGTTGTCAGATATTGGCAACTGAGCGAATGAATTGCAGCTGCTCTGTTCCTCTTCACTCTTCCGATTGCTAGTGTTAGAAGTTATGTGCGCTGCAATCGCCAGCATTTCGCCTCCTTGATGGCCGCGGCTTATTCCTACTCTTTCTGAAGTCGGGTTATTATTGGATTCCTTAGATTCTTTGGAATTGCAATGGAACATCTGAAGAAGACACCTCCTGAACTACAAAAGGCAAAAAACAATGTGTTCATAAATACTTCAGCTGAAAATGTATCTTACCTTATTGATACTAATTTAGAAAAAGTTATGCTTACTAGATTTACCTTCGGCACTCCAGATGTTGTGGACTGCATCTCCCATAATTTCTAATCAATATTCAATGCATGCAAGAAATGAATGCGTCAAGTGCTGGAGTGATGATTAACAATTATATATCTATATTTTTCCTATATTTTTTAAGTGCCACAAAGAACACATAGCACAGATTAACCAAATTAACCAGCCACTAAATAATACTATATTCAAAAAGGAAATCTCTGCGCGTCCGAAGAACAATTACAACGCTGTGTAGTCATTACAGTAAGGACGAGGAATGGGAAATTTTCATTAAATAAATGTACCCTCACAGGGTCGAAGGGGAGAGCATATATAAGTAATTTAATGGTGAATATTGCCATCTGAGATCCAAAGAGGCAAGTTATTAACTTCTACATCTCCGAACACATTAACCTTCAGAGTGCCAGAGGTGACAAGGTGTCTGAGGGATGTACAGTGATGAATTGTATGGGTTACAAAGGCTTGCAAAACTCTCAGCAGTGTCAAAGGGCAAATCTGCCCTATTAGAGATTTAATGGTGCAGGTGTCCACAATATATTACTCTTCGAGTCCCATAATTTAATAAAAAAAGAGTTAATTAACCAACTGAGTGCCAGACACACACACACAAGTCTCTGCACCCAATAAGTAATGTAGCTCTGCATTATCTACCTACAGTACATTAATTGTTATCTACACATGAATATGTACTGTTTACATATTTGCACATTCCATGTCAGTGGAATATCCTCAAGTCTTGTTTTGCACTGTGATGCACTTATCTGTAGCTTGTAAGGTTAAAATCAGTTACCTTTAGAGCCCAGACTATAATACAGTAAGTGAGAACACATACTGTACCTGTTTGTTCATAAAAACATAAATTACAGGATTGTACATAGATGCTGTTTTTGCAAAAAATGCTGGTATAGCTGACAGGCGAGGGTCCAGGTCAATAGTAGGCCGTGCAGTCACAAGTATGGAGAAAGCAGCATAGGGCGACCAGCAGATGAGAAAGGCAATAATCATGATAATGACCATTCGAGTGACTTCCTTCTCAGGCTTCCTGGTAGATCCCAGTCTTCCTTGGGTATCAGATACCTGCAGAGAAATGACAACTGTAACATTGACAGTGAATATACTTTGAATGACTTTAGCTATCAGATCATTGTTTTGTAAAATACATTTTGTACATGCAAATAATAAATATTCTCTTACCCTCCAGTTACAAAGTTACAAAAGTACCTGGCTTGCTATAATCTTGGCCACCAGCTCCCATAATGCTCGATTGTCCAATTCTGGATTTCGAGAGGGCATGTTTTACAGTGATGTCATTTATGGAAGAGCCAAGTTGGTGCTTAGTGAGAGATTTAGACAAAAAAGTGTGTGTGTGGGGTGTAGAGGGGGGTCTGGAACCTACAACACCATGATGGTAAGTCTTTGTTAGGAGTTCAAGCTGCACTGAATTTCATTAATGCCCCTCAAGAATGTCAGATGCCAGGATACAAGCCCTATAAATGACACACAGATGAAGGGCATATCATTTTAGAACACTGACACAATACCTGTCGAATGTTTTTGGCATTAGCCCTCCCAAGTCTTCCACAGATGCCAATTGGAGATACCCCGAGATAGACTATGTCCAGTTGGCAGCCACAGCCCTCCCATCTCTCAGCACCAGATGTGGCCTCCTTAGTGGCCTCTTAATGTTGTTCTTGAGCTTTCTCCATCTAGTTTTATCTTGATTTCTTTGTTCCTGACCCAGCTTGTTACCCGAGCATGTTTACCCTCTGCCCACCCTGACCTCTGGATTTGTTATACTACTTACTCTATTCTCTGGCATTCTGACCTCGGTCTGTTGCTGTTATTCTAATCTTGCTTCTTTGATGGTACTTATGCCCATTAATAATTAACCACTGCCATTCTAAGGACTGATAACATGCATAGTGATTGAAAGGCATTGCTTCTACATTCTATCTTCATCGCACTCACTGTGTACAATATACTGGTTGTCCAGCAGTACTCCTTATATTGGCACAATCATGGATACATTTCAGTTACTTCACAATTGTATTTTCTCCCCACATCCCCTATCTGTATCAATATCAATTATATTTTTGTATAAATTGTAAAGCACTCTGGATAAGAGTGATATAAGAACTGATAAATAAACATTTGTCTTTCCGAGATCCAACCCCTAATTTGTCTAGTAAAGTCCGCTAGCTTTTCCTACAATTCCCTCAGCATAAATCAAGGACACCAGTGAACAGATCAGGAAAAGTCTTACAATTACAGGGAGTGCAGAATTATTAGGCAAGTTGTATTTTTGAGGATTAATTTTATTATTGAACAACAACCATGTTCTCAATGAACCCAAAAAACTCATTAATATCAAAGCTGAATATTTTTGGAAGTAGTTTTTAGTTTGTTTTTAGTTTTAGCTATGTTAGGGGGATATCTGTGTGTGCAGGTGACTATTACTGTGCATAATTATTAGGCAACTTAACAAAAACAAATATATACCCATTTCAATTATTTATTATTACCAGTGAAACCAATATAACATCTCAACATTCACAAATATACATTTCTGACATTCAAAAACAAAACAAAAACAAATCAGTGACCAATATAGCCACCTTTCTTTGCAAGGACACTCAAAAGCCTGCCATCCATGGATTCTGTCAGTGTTTTGATCTGTTCACCATCAACATTGCGTGCAGCAGCAACCACAGCCTCCCAGACACTGTTCAGAGAGGTGTACTGTTTTCCCTCCTTGTAAATCTCACATTTGATGATGGACCACAGGTTCTCAATGGGGTTCAGATCAGGTGAACAAGGAGGCCATGTCATTAGATTTCCTCCTTTTATACCCTTTCTTGCCAGCCACACTGTGGAGTACTTGGACGCGTGTGATGGAGCATTGTCCTGCATGAAAATCATGTTTTTCTTGAAGGATGCAGACTTCTTCCTGTACCACTGCTTGAAGAAGGTGTCTTCCAGGAACTGGCAGTAGGACTGGGAGTTGAGCTTGACTCCATCCTCAACCCGAAAAGGCCCCACAAGCTCATCTTTGATGATACCAGCCCAAACCAGTACTCCACCTCCACCTTGCTGGCGTCTGAGTCGGACTGGAGCTCTCTGCCCTTTACCAATCCAGCCACGGGCCCATCCATCTGGCCCATCAAGACTCACTCTCATTTCATCAGTCCATAAAACCTTAGAAAAATCAGTCTTGAGATATTTCTTGGCCCAGTCTTGACGTTTCAGCTTGTGTGTCTTGTTCAGTGGTGGTCGTCTTTCAGCCTTTCTTACCTTGGCCATGTCTCTGAGTATTGCACACCTTGTGCTTTTGGGCACTCCAGTGATGTTGCAGCTCTGAAATATGGCCCAACTGGTGGCAAGTGGCATCGTGGCAGCTGCACGCTTGAATTTTCTCAGTTCATGGGCAGTTATTTTGCACTTTGGTTTTTCCACACGCTTCTTGCGACCCTGTTGACTATTTTGAATGAAACGCTTGATTGTTCGATGATCACGCTTCAGAAGCTTTGCAATTTTAAGAGTGCTGCATCTCTCTGCAAGATATCTCACTATTTTTGACTTTTCTGAGCCTGTCAAGTCCTTCTTTTGACCCATTTTGCCAAAGGAAAGGAAGTTGCCTAATAATTATGCACACCTGATATAGGGTGTTGATGTCATTAGACCACACCCCTTCTCATTACAGAGATGCACATCACCTATTATGCTTAATTGGTAGTAGGCTTTCGAGCCTATACAGCTTGGAGTAAGACAACATGCATAAAGAGGATGATGTGGTCAAAATACTCATTTGCCTAATAATTCTGCACTCCCTGTATAAAGATATTTAGAGACATTAAAATGACACACTACAACTGGCAAGAAGAGTGACCAAATATGACTCAGAAAGCCACCTTCGTAGCGTTGTGTGGGCTGATGGCTGTGATTATTATTCAAAGGTGTAATTCTACATATAGTAAAGAAGGGAAACATGATACACTGAATCAGATATGTATGAAAATACTCAAATAGCAACTTTTAAGATTGAAATATATATATAATCAAGAAACATTCATTAGTTAGGCTTGTGAAGTAAATACCTGTTTGCAGTAAGTTAGAGTATTAGTTTCCCTACAACTAGCTGGGAATTAGAGAGTAATATTAAGGAATGGAACATCAGAGCATTAGTTTAGTCTCATAAGAACGTAAAATAATATTTCAAGGTTTAGTGAATGATTTGCCCAGGGGAGTCATCTCTGCAGAAGCTAAAGTCCCTGATTAAAGGATCAATACTTAGCTATAGGGTTAAGAGAGTGTGGCGGAACCACCCTCGCCACTGGGCTTTGGGGAAGACTGATTGCCAGCCTCCTGCTATGTGACTATGGCCCCTGGGATGTATTGCCTGCTCTCCTGTACTGCTGAGGATTGCTACCAACTAGGTGGATTTGGCTATGGAGCTTGTGTAGTGCCCTCTGTTGGTAGAAACAGTAATATGCACTACCTGAATAGCAAGACTGGTAATTTGCATATTCGAGTAGATTTGCATATCGCTAATTCTGCATGCAGGAGAGACATTTTTTGTTAATTATGGTCTTCCCCACCCATTTATAAATATGTAATTATGTTATAATAAGTCACTGTATGTTGCCTATGATTTGACTGTTTGTAATTTTATTGAGTTTTCACAGCAATGTGAATGTAATGACCATATGGGCTAGTCCCAAGTAAAATAAAGTTTTAGACAGTTCTACTTCACCCTCAATTTGGAGTGCTGTCTCTTTTAGGGGGAATCTTCTACAAGGGATTGCTATGCTTGTCATACTCCCTTGCTAAATCACTACTAAGGTCTTGTAAGAGTTTGTTCCTGTCCTGCTCTCTGGAGGAGTCCACAGTGGTTATGGTGTCGGCTGGAGTGCTTGGAGCCCTCAGGAAGCGCTAGGAGCATCCTTCAACGATGGTACCCAGTTGGGGTGCCAGGTGATCCGTTACAGAGAGAATGTCAAGTGTCGGACACCTGGGATAAAGGATATCAGACATTGCATGATAAAGACTGTAAATTGTCAGAGGGTGATGTGCTCTTATGTGAAATGATCCTCTTTTATAAAGAGCTTTCTCAATAAAATGCATTACTTTTTATCATGAATTAGAGGTGGTCTGCAGTTATTTCAACAAATCATCTCAATCCCTCTCTGATGGTTTACACGAAGTCATGACCAAGGAAAAAAGATCATGTTTAAGCTGAGCTAAGCTGAATACTGATACTTGAGTGGTACAGGCATTACGCTTGTAAAAAAGGACTGATAGCATGACCATGTTTGTGTATTTTGCATAACCGCCATATTTAAAATAACCATAGGAACATACCGTTACTTTAGTCTAGAAAGAAATGTTGCAGTCTAGAAAGCATAACTGCAATACAGACAGCATGGATATGGTTTGGATAAAATATCTGCAAACTGGACACTTTTACTGTAGGTAATACAGTTGCAAGAAAAAGTATGTGAACCCTTTGGAATGATATGGATTTCTGCACAAATTGGTCATAAAATGTGATCTGATCATCATCTAAGTCACAACAATAGACAAACACAGTCTGCTTAAACTAATAACACACAAAGAATGAAATGTTGCCATGTTTTTATTGAACACACCATGTAAACATTCACAGTGCAGGTGGAAAAAGTATGTGAACCCTTGGATTTAATAACTGGTTGAACCTCCTTTGGCAGCAATAACTTCAACCAAACGTTTCCTGTAGTTGCAGATCGGACGTGCACAACGGTCAGGAGTAATTCTTGACCATTCCTCTTTACAGAACTGTTTCAGTTCAGCAATATTCTTGGGATGTCTGCTGTGAATCGCTTTCTTGAGGTCATGCCACAGCATCTCAATCAGGTTGAGGTCAGGACTCTGACTGGGCCACTTCAGAAGGCGTATTTTCTTCTGTTTAAGTCATTCTGTTGTTGATTTACTTCTATGCTTTGGGTCATTGTCCTGTTGCAACACTCATCTTCTGTTGAGCTACAGCTGGTAGATTCCATGGCCTTAAGTTCTCCTGCAAAATGTCTTGATAAACTTGCGAATTCATTTTCCTTCAATGACAGCAATCCGTCCCGGCCCTGACGCAGCAAAGCAGCCCCAAACCATGATGCCCCCACCACCATTCTTCACAGTTGGGATGAGGTTTTGGTGTTGGTGTGCTGTGCCTTTTTTTTGCCACACATAGTGTTTCTTCCAAACAACTCAACTTTGGTTTCATCTGTCCACAGAATATTTTGCCAGTACTGCTGTGGAACATCCAGGTGCTCTTGTGCAAACTGTAAACGTGCAGCAATGTTTTGTTTGGACAGCAGTGGCTTCCTCTGTGGTATCCTCCCATGAAATCCATTCTTGTTTAGTGTTTTATGTATTGTAGATTCACTAACAGGGATGTTAGCATTTGCCAGTGACTTTTGTAAGTCTTTAGCTGACACTCTAGGATTCTTCTTCACCACATTGAGCAGTCTGCGCTGTGCTCTTGCAGTCATCTTTAAAGGACGGCCACTCCTAGGGGGAGTAGCAGCGGTGCTGAGCTTTCTCCATTTATAGACAATTTGTCTTACTGTGGACCGATGAACAGCAAGGCGATACTTTTATAATCCTTTCCAACTTTATGCAAGTCAACAATTCTTAATCATAGGTCTTCTGAGAGCTCTTTTGTGGGAGGCATCATTCACATCAGGCAATGCTTCTTGTGAATAGCAAACCCAGAACTGGTGTGTGTTTTTTATAGGGCAGGGCAGCTGTAACCAACACCTCCAATCTCATTTTATTGATTGGACTCCAGTTGGCTGACATCTCACTCCAATTAGCTCTTGGAGATGTAATTAGTCTAGGGGTTCACATACTTTTTCCACCTGCACTGTGAATGTTTACATGGTGTGTTCAATAAAAACATGGCAACATTTAATTCTTTGTGTGTTATTAGTTTAAGCAGACTGTGATTGTCTATTGTTGTGACTTAGATGATGATCGGATCACATTTTATGACCAATTTGTGCAGAAATCCATATCATTCCAAAGGGTTTACATACTTTTTCTTGCAACTGTAGCTCTTGGTAGCCTAATGTTGGGTAGTACTGGAGACTGAAGAGCAAAGCTGGAGTTTCGAAAACATGGGAGCATTCTCAAAAGACTGGTTGCATAATAAAAAGCACAGTTGCAGTCTAGAGCTTGACTTGCTGCATTCGAGATATAACAGATGTAGCTGAATCACAACAGCTGAAGTCTGAAACATGTGTTTATCATCTGAGCATGTTTGTTGTCTGAATATTATGGTTGAAATCTTCAGATCATATCTGGTTTCCAAAGAGCACCGTTTGGGCATGATTGCAGTTTGATGACTACAGGAGAATTGCTGTATGTGCACCATTAATCATAGTGACAGCCCTAATAATACAATTGGAAGTTGGAACATTGTATTCTGGTGAAAACCCTTTGTATTTCCAATGAACCTCATTTTCTAGATGACCGGTCTCTTTACATTAAGAGTTGATACCTTCCAACACATCCATTTTTTTTTTACTAAGTTAACATATTTCCCAGGAGCATTTTGTCCCAGACCTTCCCACTTACCTTTCTCAGCTTCCTCATCAGTTTTCCATAAGATATAAAAATGATCATCAAAGGGAATATAAAACACGTTGTAAGGAATGTAATGATGTAGGTTTGATCTGACCATTTTCCTGAATACCTGTAGGATAAACAAAAGATAATGAGCAATACGTATAATTTAATATGTTTCTACAAATGTATAACTCTTACAATGTTTCTACAAATGTATAACTCTTACAAAGTCTCATAGCTCACTAGATAATCAGCAAAGGGTGAGGGGGTGGGCTTCTCCTGACTCAGAGATGACCAGTTTTGGTTCTACATCCCCTATGAAATGCAGAATATTAAAACAATCTAACTAGTGTTGGAACTAGCATTTGGCAATCTTTATCTATCAAAAGTTGAAACAATATTAAAAAATAATAATAATATTTTTTTATGATTATGTATTTTTATTTCTCCTTTTTCACAACACCTTTTAGTACTTAAAATATCAGGTTTAACTAAATCAACAATTTATTTTATTTTCCATTAGTGGTGTTTAACCAAAGTCCCCTAGGCAATGGAAAGGGGTAAAATCCACACATAGTAAATTTATTGCTATTTTCATAACTAAGAAAGAGATTAAAATAATCAGCTTAGCTTTAAGATTTAATGTCCATCCAGAGCTCCCATTAAAAGACAAAATTGCTGCTATTTAGAAAGATTATGATCAAAAGAAATAGCGTTTTCTGGATTATAAGGCAACCTTTAACAAAGTTACAAATTTTCACAAGAAACATTCTACTGGTTTCCATGGCGATTGTGCTTAAAGTAACACTTTCATCTCAGGTTTAACCATGATAAATATGGCCCTCATGAGTTTTCTCAAGCATGTAATGTATTATGGTACATGTTCAAATCCTAGAGCAGAGAACTCCAGAGGACAATAACATTTAAAACCATGATGTTATTGAACGCAGCCAACTGCAAAATCAACAACACACGTCTTTGGTCCAAGAATGTAATATAAAGCCTGAATGAAAACCATTTCCAAGGCTGTTTGTATTGTTTCAATTATATTAAGTCCAATAAACATACAGAATCTGCAATACCAAAAGTTCCATTTGATGATGCGATGATTTGGTCCTTCACAGAAAGTGAAGGATCTCCTGGCTGTGCTCCAGTTCAATAATTTTCTAAAGTATACTGCATAGCTTCAACCTTCTAGGTTCACTTGCACAACACCTCCCAGGTGTAGCACATACTGCTGTCTGCAATCATTCTTGAGGTTGAAGGTTACTCTATGAAAAAGCTTACTTTGTCTACCAACTTAGTCTTGAGGCAAGTGGCTATCACCACTCTTCAGAGCTTTTGCCAGATACAAGCCATTTCTTCACAAGGTGCTCCTCAGTTCCCCATCTTTTGGCTTAGAGGTGTTCAGCCTTGGTTCTACAGCTGCTACAGAAATAAACTTCCATGAATGTTCGATTCCACATTAATCTCCAGTCCTCCTGTCTACAGATATTTCCCAGATTCATTTAGAATCAGTGTCCTCTTTCGCCTTAAATCGGAAACAGGTGTGATCAAAGGCAAAAACAAACCTGAGGTATGTTTGTTTGTGAAAAGCAACATACAAGATTGTATGCATTGCAAAATCATGCTCGAAGCACCTCAGGAAAATGGTCGCACTGGACCACCTTTCCGGTGTTTTTTTTAATGTCTACTTTATTTACTTCTACAACACATCTCACTTTGTTTTTCAGAGGTTTCTTATTGAGACTTCTCTTTGCTGAAGTCGCAAGCTTGTGTGCACACGTGGTTTCCCATCGCTTCTCATTGAGCTGTAGTACAACTCATTGAGTAGTGGCAAAGACTCACTCTAGCCTTACACGCCTGCTACTTCTATTAGGTCTGTGGGAGATAATGGAAGCAGAAGAATGCCTCAATAGCTGTGGAGGCATTACATCATGCACTTATAAAAGAGCCGATTTCAACTGAAAAATTGATTTCGATGGTGGGGTGGACAGAGCAGCTTTGAAGATGTTTTGACCTGGCCACTATTTGTTTTTTTATTTTCTACTTTTTTTTTTTTAATAGGAAAATTCTTGATATCTTTACCAGGAACCAGCTACATTCTACATAGACCTACTAAATGATTTGTTTAATTATTGTTCTTTTTCTTGTTTATTTTAAATAACTTCACCATTAAACGCCTATATGTGGTGTTTGGTTGTGTAACCCCGACATGCAGTGTACTGTATTTATTCTGTCTCAACTCCAATAAAAGGTTTGGGGAATATGATGCAACTTGAAAGACTTTATGTGTTTGGAGTCTTCTTTAATAATGATACCACAAAGTTATTTAACATAACATATGTTACTGTGTGTGTTTCAACTCTTCAAGAAAAAAAATAATACATTTTAGAGAGGTCAGAATATTCACTGCGGTTTGCAGAAAACATAAAGTGGAATATTTAGTCAAATTATTTGTGTCACAATGAAAGTCTATTTAAATTGGTTCTGTTCTTCCCCCAAATCTTAACAAGTGACTTGCAAAATCTTGCCCAAATATGTGTAGTTTTTCCCCAAAATGTTCCATTTGGAGTTTAACTTTGTTATGGGCAAATGCAAATATTACAAGTTTTAGAATGAAATGCTGTATTTCTTAAACTGTGTACTTTGTCTTTAAGAGATATTGCAAACTGACAAGAAATGGAACATATTGTTTATCATAGATGTTTCTTTAAGCAATAACCTCAGTGCACATTATGTTTACGCCATTTTGTCCCAGACTAATTACAATAACAATAATACATAAACAAGCTTCAAGGCTATGCTACGACTTTTTCAGTGCGTAATATACTGTGGTAACCTTAGTAGATAAGGATGTTCAGACTTTAAGATGCCATCTTGATCTAAGTCAGGAAAATTTCCATGACGTGTGCACCCTTTAGTTATGGCCTTGTATTTTTGCCAAGGTAAGGGAGGTCCTAAAATGAAAAAAGTAAAAAAGTAACTTTTTCATATATGAACTACGGTAACCCTAAAATGGAGACACCTAAGGTATAAATAGGTGTACTTTTAAATTTTAATACACAGAGGAGAGACTTGGAGACAGACGCTGCTCCATCTTAAAATGACAGAGAGGCTGACATGATGACATGTTCAGAAGGGTATGTTAACCTATTAATGATATTTGCAAGCATTTAATCTTATACACTCTGCTGTAATGGATTTTATATGTCTATATTTATATTTTTATATAATAAATATCTAAAAGACAAAACTGTATTGCTTCCAAGACAATCCTTATTTTATATTGTATTCTCAATTATTTATATATGTTAAATAGAGGATCTCTTACACTATATAAAATTATGGCTAAGATATCTGTATGGTTAGCCCTACTAAGTTCTATGCTTTAAGACATTATAGTGGTAAATAAGGGAACCAGCTGCGGTTACAACTTCTTCCCTACCAAGCAGTTTTGGGGTGAAAAGCAATATCCTAACACGTATTTGAAGCAAGGGATGCATATCTAGCAAATAAACGTATCATAACACAACAATTTGTGCATTGATTGCTTTGCATACAAATGTGCCCATTTATATTATGTAAATGTACACAATTCTTATCTTTCACTTATTCATTTAGCTTTTAGGAAAATATTTTGGAAATGAAACACCTTAGACAGTATATGGTGCCCTTTACCTTGCAATATTTTACAGAGGGTTTGAAATGTTAGTATAAAAGCAAAAATCAAATAGATGTGACAAAAATACATAGATAAAAATCCCAATTGCCCTTATTTTGGCAGGACAGTCCAGATTTTAATTCTCTATTTTGTACCCTGGTGTCCCACTTTTGAAAACATCAAGGAACTGTTGCCAAAAAGTGGAGCACAAGCGCATTATTAGAATGTCTCGCACTACGTTAAGGGCACTGGGATCAAGCAGAGAGCACTGAAACAGTGAACAATTGCATGGTCTGCCCGCAGTGAGCTGCTCTGTGTGATTGGCAGGCACACTGGGGCATACATTCACTTGAGACTGACCTTACTACCGGGTGGGTCCACCCCCTTTGAAGCAGCACCTTAGACGAGATTCCCAATTTGCAGGGCGCCAATGTTAGAAGTTATGTTGCTAATAGGTATTTATAAGTTATAGTAAAATCTGGTCTGCCTAGTGCAACACACAGGGATGAGGGAGTCCGACTCAGAGTGGATAGCTCAATACTGAACCAGGACAGGGATACACCCAAACCTGTCCAAAGGAATAAGAGACAGTAATACCTTCAAGGTAGTGAGTTCAGGAGCTAGTTCACTATAATATGGCTTGGTTGACAATATAATAGTTGTATCCGTTTCTAGGATAACCAGTATTGACGGAAAAAAATATATGTATGGTGTGTATACCTTTAAAACTGCTAAAGGCAGATTTTGTCTGTTACACACCAAGTGAATGCAAGTAAGTTAAAAAATTCCAAAAAACCACTGAAAAATATATAAAATAAAAATGTATATTTTTAATATTAATAAATATACATTTTTATTTTATATATTTTTCAGTGGTTTTTTGGAATTTTTTAACTTACTTGCATTCACTTGTTTCTATATATAGAGATAAAGATAATTCTATATCTCTGTGACACAAGTTATATATTGCCTATTTGCACCATTTAGTGTGCTACCTTATGATTTTAAGATATATCCATTATAATATTTTGTGTGTATTCTAAACCCCGTGCAGATCACATTTTTGCTGTTGTGAATCTGTAACTATCAAGTTGCTTTATATTTAAGCAGAGTATTTTGGTGTGTAACAGACAAAATCTGCCTTTAGCAGATTTAAAGGTATACACACCATACATATTTTTTTCCGTCAATACTGGTTATCCTAGAAACGGATACAACTATTATATTGTCAACCAAGCCATATTATAGTGAACTAGCTCCTGAACTCACTACCTTGAAGGTATTACTGCTGGTATTTATAAGTGTTTACTAAAATGGCAACAGTATGTAAAAAGAATGTCTAGGTTTGGGCATTGTGTCAGATTGTCAGTTATCCTGGCCAATTCTCACTATTTTGTAACAGTATTTTGCAACAATTTCAAAAGTGTCTGATAGAGAATACTGCAGGCAGAAAGAGTACATGATTTTGAAAAGCAAAGCACGTTTGCCAAATAGTGAGAATTAGCTAGGATAACTGACAGCAGGGCCGCCATCAGAAATTTTGGGGCCCCTAACATAGCTCAAGGTCTGGGCCCCCCTTCAAGCCTGCCTCCAAATCGCACCCACAGGAATACACACAAACTAACAGATACAAATACGGAAACAGACACACACACGTGCATAGGGAGGTACTGACACACACACACATAAACATGCAGACATACCTACTGACAAACATACATGTACATTACACATACTGCATACTGATATATACATACATACATACTGACAGGCATACATACACACACACACATACACTGGCATACACACACACGTACACTGGCATACACACATACACTGGCATACCTACACACATACACTGCCATACACACACACACATACACTGCCATACACACATACACTAGCATACATACACACATACACTGGCATACACGCACTGGCATACATGCACTGGCATACATACACACATACACTGGCATACATGCACTGGCATACATACACATACACTGGCATACACATACACTGGCATACACACATACACTGGCATACACACATACACTGGCATACATACACACATACACTGGCATACACTGGCATACACACATACACTGGCATACATACACATACACTGGCATACACATACACATACACTGGCATTCACATACACTGGCATACACATACACATGCACTGGCATACACATACACTGGCATACACATACACTGGCATACATACACATACACTGGCATACACACATACACCTCATTTTCAGCCACCCTCCTCTCTTCCTTACCATTTCGTCGCTGGAGGGTGGCTGGGGATTATGGGCGTCAGCTGCGTCCTCCTTCCCGCGCGGAGTAAAGTGGGAGGAAGTGACCGGATGTCACTTCCTCCCAGCAGCACTTGCATCCGGCTGCATTTTTTGTAAGGGGCCCGTTTTTATTTAGGGGCCCATTGGGCCCATTGGGTGGTCCTATCACCTGATGGGCCCCATCAGCGGCAGTTCCGCTGATACACGTGGGGCCCGGGTCACGGTTGTCATGCCCTGATGGCGGCCCTGACTGACAGTGTGACAAAAGGTGCATGAAAATGGTTGCCGCTATAGGGTACTGTGAAGATGGGCAATGAATTACTTTTTAAAAATGCATCACAAAGGAATTCAAAAATATAAGAGATGATATATTATAACATAATGTTTATAGTAATATGTTATATTTTTTTAATGAGAGTTATGCTTTAATTCTATGCTCTGAATATAATTTAACCACCGCTCACTGTTCAAATATTAAACCCTCAACTATTTTGAGAGAAGTTCTCTCTTTATAAGTATCTAAAGAAGGAATGCCCAAAAGGTAGATCCCCAAATGTTGTAGAACTACGACTTCCATGATGCTTTACATGGCTTTAGAATGATTAAAGGAATTCTATAGTGCCGGGAAAACAAAGCAGTTTTCCTTAAATTATAGGTTCCTACAGTGCCCCTCTAGCCCCCCTCCCACAGCGCCGTAGGGGTTAAAACTTTCAGTCACTTACCTTAATCCAGGGCCAATGTCCTTCGGCGCTGGGTCAGGATCCTCCTGCGCGCCTCCCCCTGCCGACATCAGCCAGCGGGGGAGACCTAATACGTATGGGCGGCAATGGTCGAGCTTGCGTTAGGATTTCCCAACAGGATACAATGATTTCCTACGGGGATTCCGATGATGCTGGAAGTCCTCATGCATAGTGTTAGGACATCCAGCATAATTTAGGCGACCAAAAGTTGTCTAAGCACCCTGGTAGACAGCTGCTAAAGGAGGAGTTAACCCTAGCAGGTAATTATTGCAGTATCTCAGAAACTGCAATAATTACCACTGCAGGGTTAAGGGACATGGGACATTGCACCCAGACCACTTCAATGAGCTGAAGTGGTCTGGGTGCCTACAGTGTCCCTTTAAGCATCATGGAAGCTGTAGTTTGAAAGCATCTGGGGATCTACCTTTTGGACACCCCTGATATAAAGTATCCTCTTACGTACGATGTCACTGAAAATTTTCTGGCGAATTGTGGAAAAATGTGCGTGTTTTCACTCAATTGTTTCATGTTGTCTTTGAATTTGTGAATCAAGTTGTACTTCATAAAATATAAGACACCTTGTGGTTTTTAATGTGGTTTAAATTGTCTTAAAATCAAATTTTAATGTATTAGACCATGACACACACACAATAAAACTATCTCCTTCATCCTATTTTTTTTCTGTAATACTGTATAAATTGAACTGTCATGCCCTCAGTAATACAATTCTTTCTGTTCTAAACTGATGGGGGTTTTTTTTGTCTAACTTAAAGTCTCGATCTATGGCATTCTATTATTTTGAAGATAGCTGTATATTAGTTCCAAACCTTTTTTTACTTTCTATTAATTCATTCCATTAGTATTTTCATGAACAAGCAGGAAATTCTATTTCCCCTGAGATATGACCCTTCCTGACCCACTATGTTTTGTCATGTCTTTGCCAGGCTGTTATTTTGAATTATTAATGTTTATTGCACTAACGCTTTATGTGCGGAACAGAATATGTTTAAATTAAAAAAACAAAAAAGCACACACATAATATATATATATATATACATATATAAATATTATTATCTTAGCTGCTTTGGAAAAAATGACCAAGTATAAAATCTTAAGCTAAGCTGGAAAAAAATAAATGGAATAGAATGTTTTTAAAAATTGGCTATTTTACCTGAAATATTTTTTTGTTTTGTTTTGACGTCAGATATAATAAATACTTATAATAATTATTATACTTTCTTATTAAAAAACAAAAACAAAAAAAACAACAAGATACATGGACATTAATTGGAATATGTGTTCCTTCTAAGATAAAATGTACAGTGAGGGTGAGAGAGAGAGAGGGGGATAATATTTTTATAGATAATATTATTTTCTGTAGCTCTGTATTGGAAATGGAAACACAGAAATGATCAATGAGGCCAGCAATGTCTGTTCAACTCATACTTATTAATGTCTGCAGCAGTAATGCCTGGTATTTCTTGACCAGTGTGTTGGTAGATGTCAATGGCCACCTCTGTGTAGTCAAGGTCAACTTTTATAAAGCACTTAACCAAGGGATGATCAACCTTCTGTCTGGATAAATAGCAGTTTTACTTTTAAAAGTAAAAGTCCCCTGTAATATTATATAACATATAAAGTATTATACTCATACATCGAAGATTCCTGTGTGATACTTTTTATGTTATCTACTCATTTTTTTTTTTAATATCTCACTTCTATCTATGTCTAGCTGAAAATAATTATAGTAGGGATTCATGCTTTCTAGATTGCTAAGATGTGCCTCTCACTCCTCTAAATTTTAGCCATAAAGCCTACAACCCCAAAGCACAATATCTAACTTAAAGGGATACTATAAGTGCCAGGAATACAAAGCTGAATTCCTGTCACTATAGCTCCCTCTGTCTCCTCCCTCCCTCGCACCTCCATCCCCCCGTCTGAGTGAGTAAAGAGGTAAAAACCCTTTATTTATTTACCCTACCCAGCGCCGATGTCCTCGACTTCCCGCGAAAAGTGGGCGCTAATGCGATGCTTTCTTATGGGAAAAAATCTGACTCTGGGTGTCCAGCGTCAAATACCGGACTTAAGGTCCATTTGGATGCAGGAAGTGCCTCCAGTGGCTTTCTAGTAGACAGCCCCTGGAGGCAGACTTATTGCTGCAATGCAAACATTGCAGTTTAACATTACAGCACTAAGTGCAATAGAGATAGGGCACCTGACCACTTAAATGAGCTAAAGTGGTCTGGCTGCCTATAGTGTCCCTTTAACCAATTTCATCCTCATATTAAAAGCAAACCTTCTGGGCTCGACATCCTAGTAGCCAGTTAACAGTTGGACTGAATCAATAAGGTGAATATTGAACTGTGGTGAAAGCGGAGAGTGAGATTTGAGAGAGTAAGATGGCAACTTGTAACAAAAAACAGATAATCAGTTAAAGGGTTTCCCCAGCTAGTTCTTAACTCTCCCCCCCCTCCCCCCCACCCTCCCATTTTAAGCCTAATTCTCCTCAATCATTACCACTGCTCCTTTGTTTTACCTTCTTCTAGGTTGCAGTCCAACCAAATGCTTCTGATAGCATTGATAGACCACTGGCGCATGTGCGGCAAGTGCAACAAATGTGCCATGCAAGTTTTTCTGATAGAAAAGCACTTTATACAATGCTTTTCTATCTGAAGCATTGATATCCCATTTGAGGGTGCAGGGCGGCAAAGTGGAAGGGATATATAGAATATAAGATAAGGAGACAGAATTAGGGAATGAGGCAGATTTAGGGGAGAGTGGAGAGAGAGGGCTGTCATTAGGGAGGGAGTCAAAATATTTTAATTGGTGGAACGTGATTAGACTGTGCAGGCAAGCAATGCACACAGACTGCAAAAGGCTTCTGTGACAGAACCATCTGTCTGTTTATTGTGGTGGATTCGTTTATTTCTGCCCTCCTTCGTGTAAATGGCTGTTTCTATAGCCCAGCCATACGAATGACTCTTTTTTACCGAAGAAATCTACCGAACGGATGGCCACCCAGGATAGAAGTGTGCTGCTGGTTAACCTCTTGATCCCAATTAGAACGTTGTGGTTAACCGCAGACACTTCTCAATTAAACCGAATTCAGGGTGGCCGTCGTTCGTATGTCGCAGCGGCCATTTTAAAACACACGAAAGACCAGCGGTGTTCGGCACTGATTTCATGGAACTAAAAACTGACACTTTTTCTGCCGAACACCGCTGAAACAACGGGTCGCCCTACTCCATCGACGAAAGCATGTGAACACCAGCCGTTCGGGAATTTGGAATCACACGAAAAGCCTTAACCCAGATAGCCTTCCCATGGAGTCAATCGCATACCGAAAGACTGTAAGAACTTTGACTCCATGGCGATTGAACTATGTGTGTGGGATCTGAGCGCTATTCGCTAATAATATGCCCTCAGATCCAGGCTATCTGGGGATGTGTGATACGAATGTGAAATGTTCGGTAGTTGTAGAGTTATATATTTTTGTGTGTTTTCTGGCATTTTATTTAAGATGGTGATTTATCTTTGTCCTGGAGATTATTGAATTACTTCTCAATTATCTCCAGGGCAGAGGGGAGGAAACCATATTGCATTGTGGGAAAAGTTTACATCTGTATGTCTGAAATGTCCCCATGTCTATCTGTCATTACAGTCTCCCATTTGGTCCCCTAGGGGAGTGTCCACCAAGTGAGAGACCTGCATAAATACGGGCGGGTAGCCCACAGTAAAGCCAGATCCTGTTTGACCCTCAATGCGGAGCTTCTGTCTCGTTATTGGGGGGATTTATTATTTACGCCCAGAGACTGATTATTGGAACCGAAAGCCGCTTGGTGGATATCTTTGTTCGGCGGTTAGCGGCGGTTCGTGGATTTCTGTTCGGGAGTTTGGAGCCTTTCACGGATCCTGGTCGGGAGATTACCACTTCCCCTGATGGTGGTTCATATACTGCAGCATATGCGAACGGAGTTACTGATATTGCGAAAGGGGAAGGTTAACTAAATGGCGGTTTCTCTTAAAGACACCAGGGGTGTCTTAACAATTGGTGACAAGCGACGGGATGAATCCCACAGCACTGAAGGTCAGCTACACATCCCAGTTTGGTGGAGGAAATGCAGTATGAAGAATTAAGGCGTGCTACCCTTAAGGACATACTTGAACGCCGAGGACGGTCAGCAAGCAATTTGAAAAAGAGAGAAATTATTGCTTTGCTACTGGAGATGGATGCAGCACAGGGAACGGAGAGAGCTAATGTGCCCAGCATTTTGGATTTAACACCCGAGGAAATACAATTTAACGGGCAGTCCAGATAAGGCTGGCACACTTTGGCCCCAACCCCTCAGCGGACATTGTAGAACGTGTGCAGGCAGCAGTAATGGCACACCAGGCGCTCCGGGAAAGAGGAGCTGCAGCAGCAGAGGTACCCAATAACAATTTTGGAAGGAAAAAGGTACCCTTTGCTGCGTTTAAAGATTTTGTTGAAACAGAGGGAGAGATTGACGGGTTCCTGGCTGACTTTAAAAGGCAGTGTGCCCTACACCAGGTACCCGCAGACGAATGGGTCAGCATCCTCTCTGGGAAATTATCAGGCCGGGCTAGTGAAGCATTTCGGGCAATCTAAGAGGAGGAGATCACCAGCTACCGAGCGGTGAAAGATGTGCTCTTGGCCAGGTATGCGGTGACCCCAGAAGCATACAGGCGATGATTTAGAGAGACTAACAAACAGGTTGGCGACTCCTATGTAGAGTGGGCCTGCAGAGTCCACCGCACTGCAGCCCACTGGATGGCTGGATGCCAAGCGGTAACTGGGGAAGAGGTGCTGCAGGTGTTCTTGCTCGAACACTGCTTCGACAGACTACCTGCTGGGGTCAGGGAGTGGGTCAGAGATAGGAAACCATCTACCCTACCTGGCAGACGAATATACAGAAGCCCACAAATTGGACAGTACAGCTACCAAGGTTCCTGCCAGGATGGAGTACCGACCGACAGCAACCCCAGCACCAACAGCATACCAACCCCCAGTACACCGCACTCCAGCAGTACCGCCAGCAAACAATTACCCGCAACCCTCCCGGTTCAATGCCCAGGATTATTTGCAGCCCATTAGGTGCTTTGGGTGCAAACAGTTGGGGCACAAGCGACCCGAGTGCCCACTGAACGGCGCTAATCAAGCTCAGTCCTGGAGGAAACCAGCCAGCGGGAATCAATGGCCACCTCAGCCTGCTGCTCACTGTATCGAGCAGGAGGAATTCTGGGGCATACTGCACGAGGCCGACCCAGAGCAAGCAGCTCATCAGGACAATCGTCAGCAACATCGGCAGACTGTGAAGCTGAATGGCAGAGTGGTGAACGGTCTGAGAGACACAGGAGCCACTATGACACTGCTCCAAAAGAACCTAGTCTCGGAACACCAGCACACTGGAGACACTGTGGCAGTGAGGGTAGCAGGAGGCGCCGTGTTCCGCTTACCTGTTGCCCGGGTCCATTTGGATTGGGGAGTGAGCGCTAGACATGTGGATGTGGGGGTTATGAAAGACTTGCCCGCTGATGTTCTTCTTGGGAATGATTTAGCCCCTTTGGTTTCTGCTTATGCCCTGATGGGCCCTGCTGACGCTAACCCAGTGACTACTCGTGCTCAGACCCGTGCTTCTGGAACCGGCTCGCCTGCTGATGAGACCCAGGTAAGACCTTCTTCCCCGACTGGTACCCTAGATCAGGTCCCCTTAAGCTGGGATTCCCAGAGGAGTTTGGGAGGGAAACCTGGGCGGACCCGACTCTCCAGAAGTACCGAGATAGAGCAGAGGCTGGAGAGGAAGGAGTAGATGGAGAGCGGTATGAGTGGGTGGGGGACAGGTTATATAGGATCCCGAAGCCTTCCCAGAAGAGTGTAGCCCCTCCACCGAATAGACAGCTAGTGGTACCTGCAAAGTACCGTCAGGAGATTCTGCAGATAGGACATGATGTTCATTAGCTGGACATCTAGGGTCCCGCCGTGCAGCCTATAGGATCTCACAGAATTTATTTTGGCCCAACTTTAACCAGGCTGTGCGGATGTATTGCAGTACGTGAGACACATGTCAACGGGTAGGAAAGCGGGGGGACCACCCTAAGGCTAGGTTATTATCAATGCCTATTATAGGGGAGCCCTTTTCCCGCATAGCTGTTGACATTGTGGGTCCACTGGCCAGAGCTAGTCCATCCGGTAAGAAATACATTTTTACTGTGGTGGACTATGCCACACGCTACCCAGAGGCTACTCACTCAGCAACTGTGGAAGGTATGTGGCATTAAACCGTTGCTTAGCTCACCTTACCATCCACAAACTAACGGTCTCTGCGAGCGCTTTAACGGTACCCTCAAGCAGATGCTGAGGACCTTTACAGATACTTGCAGAGACTGGGAGAGGTTCCTGCCTCATCTGTTGTTTTCTTACAGAGAGGTGCCACAGGAATCTACTGGGTTCTCCCCCTTTGAGTTGCTCTTTGGGAGAAGGGTCCACGGACCCCTAGATCTCATTCGGGGCCACTGGGAGGGGGAGACGGAGCAGGAGGGGACCCCCATCATGCCATATGTCCTGGAACTCCGGGACCGCATGGAGAAACTATCCCTGATGGTAAGGGAGAATCTCCAGGCGGCCCAGGGGAGACAGAAGAGGTGGTACGATCAGGGTGCCCGACAGCGGGTCTTCCAGGTTGGGCAGAAAGTATTGGTGCTTAAACCTGTGAAGGCAAACAAGATGCAAGCATCTTGGCAGGGCCCGTACCGAGTAGTAGCGCAGATCTGCGATACTACTTACTTGATAGCCAGCTGTACAGATGAAAGGGTTCAGAGATCCTTTCATGTGAACATGCTGAAGGAGTACCAGGAGAGACCTGAGAATATTGCAGCAGTATGTTCCCCGGCTGCAGATGATCCTGAGAATTTACCCCTTCCTGACTTGTTAGAAAGGGACCCCCAGACTGACCTCACTAACCTTGTACAGCTAGGGGACAGGTTAAACCCCACAGAAAGGGTACAGGCGAAACAGCTGTTGTGGGAGAAGCAGGCGATGTTCTCTCAGGAGCCAGGTTATACTACCCTAGCTGTACATAATGTTGAGACCCCTGGACAGACCCCCTTACGACAGCCGCCATATCGTATCCCTGAAGCAGTCCGAGAAGGAATGCGGAAGGAGATACAGGAGATGACCTAGCTTGGGGTCATCGAGCCCTCCGACAGCCCTTGGGCCTCGCCTGTAGTCCTGGTGCCCAAGAAGGATGGGGTGTAGATTACAGGCGACTCAACGAGCGGACCACCACTGACGCCTACCCGATGCCCCGGGTAGACGAATTACTAGATCGTATTGCCAGGGGGGTGCTACCTGATCACCATAGACCTGTGTAAGGGCTACTGGCAGATACCCCTTGCCGAGGATGCTATCCCCAAGTCGGCATTCGTCACCCCATTTGGCCTGTACCAATTTAAGGTCATGTCTTTTGGGATGAAGAATGCCCCGGCTATCTTCCAACAGATGGTGGATAGACTCCTGGATGGCTTCCAAGAATTTGCCTTTGCATACTTGGACGACATTGCGATTTACAGTGGGTCCTGGGAGGAACACCTGGTTCATGTAGGGGTGGTACTGGATAAGATTTGGGCCGCTGGCCTGACATTGAAGCCAGAGAAGTGCCATCTAGGTATGGCTGAAGTACAGTACCTGGGTCACAGAGTGGGATGTGGGAGCCAGAGACCAGAGCCAGCCAAGGTCGAGGCAGTGGCTAACTGGCCCACACCTACCCCTAAGACCCAGGTATTGACCTTCTTGGGGACGGCAGGGTACTACCGACATTTTGTCCCTGATAGCACTATTGCTAAGCCCCTGACAGACCTGACGAAGAAGAACTTGCCTAAGCAGGTCCTGTGGTCTCCGGCTTGTGAAGCTGCATTCCAGGCACTGAAACAGGCTCTTGTGAATTCCCGTCTTGGCTGCCCCAGTCCCTAACAAACGTTTTCTCGTTCACACAGATACTTCCATGTATGGACTGGGGGCTGTGCTGAGCCAAGTCGGGGAGGATGGAGGAGAGCACCCTGTCGCATATCTCAGCCGAAAGTTGTTACCCAGAGAAGTGAGTTATGCGGCAGTGGAGAAGGAGTGTTTAGCCTTGGTCTGGGCATTGAAGAAGTTAAGTCCCTACTTATACGGGCGAGAGTTTTCCCTTGTGACTGATCATAACTCACTCGTCTGGCTTAACCGGGTCTCAGGGGACAATGGTAGACTACTGAGGTGGAGTTTGGCACTACAGCCCTACAATTTCACTATCAGCTTCAGACCCGGTAAGCAGAACGGGAATGCAGATGGGTTATCCCGGCCAACTGACATTTCCACCACCTCCTAGTCCGGTCATCCCCAAGTTGACCTGCCAAAGGGTCAAGCCAGGTCTGCCGGAGTGTCCCACAAGGAGGGAGCCGTGTGACAGAACCATCTGTCTGTTTATTGTGGTGGATTTGTTTATTTCTGCCCTCGTTCATGTAAATGGCTGTTTCTATAGCCCAGCCATACGAATGACTCAAATCTACCGAACGGATGGCAACCCAGGATAGAAGTGTGCTGCTGGTTAACCTCTTGATCCCAATTAGAACGTTGTGGTTAACCGCAGACACTTCTCAATTAAACCGAATTCAGGGTGGCCGTCGTTCGTATGTCGACCACGAGGCAGCGGCCATTTTAAAACACACGAAAGACCAGCGGTGTTCGGCACTGATTTCATGGAACACTTTTTCTGCCGAACACCGCTGAAACAACGGGTCGCCCTACTCCATCGACGAAAGCATGCAAACACCAGACGTTCGGGAATTTGGAATCACACGAAAAGCCTTAACTCAGATAGCCTTCCCATGGAGTCAATCGCATACCGAAAGACTGTAAGAACTTTGACTCCATGGCGATTGAACTTTGTGTGTGGGATCTGAGGCTATTCGCTAATAATATGCCCTCAGATCCAGGCTATCTGGAGATGTGTGATACGAATGTGAAATGTTCGGTAGTTGTAGACTACCGTGGTAGCCCACAGTAAAGCCAGATCCTGTTTGACCCTCAATGCTTCTGTCTCGTTATTGGGGGGATTTATTATTTACGCCTAGAGACTGATTATTGGAACCGAAAGCCGCTTGGTGGATATCTTTGTTCGGCGGTTAGCGGCGGTTTGTGGATTTCTGTTCGGGAGTTTGGAGCCTTTCATGGATCCCGGTTGGGAGACTACCGCTTCCCCTGATGGTGGTTCGTATACTGCAGCATATGCGAACGGAGTTACTGATATTGCGAAAGGGGAAGGTTAACTAAACAGCGGTTTTTCTTCTACTTGCGGGCGCCGTTAATTACATCTATTACCAGCTCACAGTGCAATAAAAAAAATCTAATAATAGTCATATTAGGTGACATTGGCATGAGATGCATGAAACTGGCATTTAGCAAAGCAAGTTCCAGCTCATAAACAAGACTATACATAAAACATGAGGTCACGTATTTCGACTGGAGGAAAGGAGATTTACTCTAAGGCAAAGGAAAGGGTTTTACAGTAATAACAATAAGGATGTGGAATACTCTTTCTGAAGAGGTGTTTTTTTAGAGTCTAATACAGATGTTTAAACAGCAACTGGATAAATACTTGCTAAACATAATATACTGGGATAAAAAATTTAATTAGTGGGGTAATAGCTTCTTGATCCAATGAGATATCTGACTTCCATTCTAGGGTTAAGAAGAATTTTTTCCTGTTTTCTTGCAAAATTGGAAGTGCTTCAGACTGGGGTTTTTTTCATTTAATTTTAGAACTTACCATCCCATAAGGTTCTGCCAAAGAGTTAAGTAGACTAATTTCATAATTATGGGACTTAGCCATGTAAGGTTAAAGGAATGTTTTAAATTATGCTCAAATTTATCTATGTTGATCATAATTTCGAACAACACATAACACGTTTATATCAGAATTTATAGCGTCCTGCTCTTGAATCATTAAGGTGTAACATAAACCGCTTACCAGTTGGGTTCACAAGTTGTGCCAATTTTACTTGTGGTATAACTACTCCAACCCATAATTGGTGGGATTGTCCAAATGAACGAGAAGATCCATACAAACAAAATACCAATCGCCGAATGCTTCCCGCGAAGACGCAGATTTCCAAGAGGTTTGCATATCACCACGTATCTCTCAAAAGCCAAGATAGTCAGCGACCACAAAGCTACAATTCCTTAAGATGTTATGAAACAATAAAACAGATACAATTTAGACAGGCATTCAAGACAACAGGTCATTGTATTTTGATTTTAACCATACACATAATATAAACATTTAAAAAAACTGTTGTAGCAAACTGAAAAACATGAATTGCTAAACTGTGATTATAGTTGAGTTTCCAAATCAGCTTTTTGCCTTGCAGGTGTATTCCCAAATTCAGGTATTCAAGTTTTGAAATTCACTTTCAATTTTCAGCAATTTTTGCTTTAGTGCATAAGCGATTTAGTAAGTAACTCCAGTAAATAACAATTGAATTTTCATTTCAGATTTTTACGTGTTACAATTCATGTTCAGTAAAGAATCTCAAAAAGGTCATCACTATCATGATAAATCATAATTCTGTTTTACTGTAGCGTCGTCTCTGTAGGATCAGTCTGAAATTAACAAAAACTACAAAACGCCACTCATTTCAGAATAATAATCCTGCTGAAGTTTTAGCCATCCTCTGGGAAACTTTGGTTATTAAAAACGTATTTCGGAAGATTTTTCAAAATGAACTGATTATCTGTAAATGTAAAAATATAGAAAGTTGTCAGATAAACAAAACGATCAACCCATCCAGTCTCCTTGTTAAAAAGTCTTAGACAGTATACCCTGTTGCTCGATGCTTATTTTTCTCTCTAATTATTATGTCCACGTTTTTTTGTTTTTTCTAGAGAGTTTGCGCTCCTCGTATTATTAATTCCTCATATTATTCATCACACTGTTGTCATGCTGTTTCGTACCCTATTTTAGAAAATGCTTAATAAAAACTATACTGCAAAAAAAAAAGTCTTAGACTGTGGATTCTTCAAATTATTTACTGTTTTAACCTGTTTCAACTTCAAGCCTGTTTTAAACCTCTTCCATGCTGTCTGTAGAGTAATACTGTCTCACAAAAGCCAATACCTGCATGTCACAATGTAAAATATCATTTTTGATTTTTTTTTATTAAAATGCTTTGTCTTTCATCGTTGTTTGATCTCTTAATGCAGGGATAACTGGAAAGTAAATCGCCAAGCCACAACGCCCTGATGATTTCGCGGCCTTAAGGTAGCACTCTAAGCACAGAATCACTACAGCCAGCTGTAGGGGTTATGGTGGTAGGAGGTCCCTGGCACAATAATACAATAAATAAGTAGTCAAATTATTTTTCAGTGGTTTGGCACTTACTTGGGGACTTACCATGAGATGACCTAGGGAACTCTTTGTACTATAACCACTACAGAGGGCTGTATCAATTACAATAATTACAATGCTTGGAGTGTTCCTTTATTTAGATGTTCAGTGGATATCATTTACTACAAAATGTGTTGCAAACATTATGCCAATGCAGATATGTGGCACAAGGCCGCCATCATGTCAGTGACACTTAAATTCTCTCTTCCCTTGAATTTTCCTTGGATTTATTTCCTTCTGAAGTCACATGTTGAGATGACCATCACAGCATTAGAGTCTACGTATCTAACAATAGGTGTGAACCTCAGTTTGATTGCTGTCTGTCTCCAAAATCGGTAGTTTTTGTACTGTGAAAACTCAAAGTATAAGTGTGATCTGGTGTGCTCGATGTTCTAGCAAAGATCCAGAGCATTAGGTACCGTGTTTCTTCCTTTTCTCGTTTGCTTTTCTGCTTTTTAGTTAATTACAGAAGATTCCAGGAGATGGCATTGTATGGACATGTGTCCTTTATTCAGAAAAGCCACCACCAGAATAGACAAGCTCCCTGCTTTCCGAATCCCTATTAGACCCCAGGGAAAAGAGATTTTACTTTGGTTCCAAAGAAACCAGTCACAATCTGACCCAGATAGCTGCACAGGTTTAATCCATGTGTAATTTTGTTACATGGGCTTGTGTGTCCTCTATATTCTTTCCAGTGGCCACTGAATGCCCTGTTATAATTCATGACCTACAAGTCCGCTATTAGAGGTAAAATGTGTTATGTATTTGTACTATTCTTACTCGATTCTAGTAGAGTCCTAATCATTCACAATAATTCATTTTTTTCTGGACATTTCTCAATGAAATGTCTCCAGTTTAAGATCAGGGTTGTACATGCCACAGATATAAATTTCCGAACTATAGACTCAGTTTAATAGTTTTAGAATAGGCTTTTCGGGTGATCACAATCTGTTAGAGAATCCTTCCAAATAATTTATTTATAGTAGTTACCTTTAATGTCTTTGCTAATATTTGTAGATAAATAATTTGAAATTGTGATCATGTGAAATGCGTATCCAAAATTATTAAATCGAAATTCCTTTTGGTGTCAGAATTAAAATGACATAACCTTTGTATACAAAGAAGTTGCTTATTATGTTTGTACCATAGGGGATTCTGTACAGGCGCACGCACACACAGTAAATCTCTGAGAGCAAACATAAGGGGAGATTATAGAAAGGGTAGAAGATTCTATAGAGAGCAGACATGAACAGGGAGAACATGAAATGGGGTAACACGAAAAGAAGGAAAAGTAAAGTAAAAGGGAAGCATATATAAGAGTGGAAAGCAAATAGGACAGAATATTAAAGAAATATAGACATGTATTCCTGACACTGTAGTCATGAAATGGCTGTTTAGGTCCCCAGCCCCACTCCGATCATGCTGAAAAGATGGCTTTCCTCAACTTTTCTCCCATGCCACGCTGGACGAGCCTCCATGGCTAAGATCATTAAACAGCCAATCCGCACTGCACAATGGGGAACGTTCAGCGTCTACATGCAGAGTAAGGAGATGCTCAACGTCAGTGCAGCACATTGTACAGCATTCACCCAAGAAGCACCTCCAGTGGCCATTTGAGGAACTGCCACTGGGGGAGTCCCTAGGCAGCAATGTAAACACTACCTTTTCTCAGAAAAGGCAATGTTTACATTAAAAAGCCCGCAGGGACTTATTATACACACCAGAACAAATACATAAGGCTGTAGTGGTTCTGGTGACTGTAGTGTCCTTTTAAATTTGAGCATAGATAAAGGGGATAGGGAAAAACAAAATGGGAGAATGCCTAGAGGGCGGGGGGGGGGGGCATATATGATGAGGAGAAAAAGGAAAGATCAGGAGAAAAAATTGAGCAGCCATAATAAGCTCTGTGTAGCAACTTTTTGTTAGTCTTTTCAACACTGCGTAACAGAAGTTTCTATTGTACAAACTACAGGTTGTGTGAGGGATGGCTGGTTAGGAGACTTAAACCAATCCTGAAAGGGTCCAATACGCATATCTATTACCCCTTCCAATAGTATATAAATGCCAGCTGACCCACCAATAACTCTCTTTTGGTTATAAACATGCCACCGAAGACTCCCCCCACCCAAACATTACTCTTCTCTTAGCTTCAGTCCAAAGTCAAAATTCTCATATGATTTCAGACAAGATCCTCATCATATCCTCAACAAACTAACACAGCAAATGTTCCCCTTGTCTTAATGCAGGAGGTGGAGCGTAATGAACGTCAGGCTTTGATTAATGAAGTGATAGTGATTAATTCCTTTGTATTATCCTTCCTAGAATTGAGGGGCCATGTTAGGTGGGCAAATAAAAACAATGGGAAATGCTCATTTTACAGGGTCTCTTGTTAGAGGGGCAACAAGAAGAGGGATGTAGGCTATCTTGCTAAATATTAAACCTGTCTCCGGCTATAGCGTAGAGCACCAAAGAATGTGTGTAATTGTTGCAAAGGAAACCATAATGGTTTTAATGTGTCAAAGCAATGAATACTATCTAAACGTAATTTACTGATGACATAAGTTCTATAAAGTATAAAAAGTATATTTTCTTCAGATAGGGTTGTACTGCTCAAGATCAGCAGGTGAAACCCACACCACCTAAGTGTCTTGATTTAGGAGTGATAGTCCCTCTTTTTGGTTCTCGTCATTGTGACCCTTTTCTCTGGGAGATTGGTGGGTATGAGTATATACAGAGTTGCACTGCAATAAATTCACGGTAATTTAATTCACATAACTTAGTCCGGTAAATAAGACTTTGATACAATTTTTTTAATATTAGGAGTCTAGACTGTACTGTGCTGCTTAAACTACCTGCATTAAGGTGAGCTGGAGGACAACCCTGCCCCCAACGTAACTAACTTGAAACCCCATCAAGATGTGTATATTTAATTAATTTGTTTTTTTTTAAATTAATTTATTTGTACATTACTAATGAGACAGAAAGAGGCATTCTTTTTAACCCCTAAACACTTATTAACCCTTAATAATATATCCTATTAAGGGTTAATAAGTGTGTAAGAGATTATAAGGCTATCCCTTTCTGTCTTATTAGAGATTTTGCCTTTTAGCTAAAAGCAGCAAGGGGAATTGTTAGTGTAGGACGTATATAAGATGTTTGCCTTGACATGGCAGTTGAGCTTACAGTTTAATGGCCATTGGAGTGATACTTAAAACCTGCTGACATTTAAGTGCACACAGGAATTTAGGATAGTGTGCAGGTAACCGCAAACTGATTTTGTTTTATGTATTCGGCTGATCAATTCTATAGCCATTGCTGCTGCACAAAAGTAGTGAGATTTTGAGCACAGGGTTCTGTGCATAAGTTTTACATTATGCAAGAGGTTACAGTACGGAACAGATTGTATCATCAAACACCAGCAGCAAGAACTATCTAAACAGATATGTGCATATAGAATAACCTCGCTAATTTGTTTTGGAAGGATTTTATCATGGCATGTCTCTAACACATAATCAAATAAATGTGATTTTGCAATGTGTACTGCCTACAGTGAGGACAGCATGCAGTTTTTCACTTAGTAGGACATGGGCTCTGTAAAATGGCATAGATAGATTGCAATGTCAGAAAGAGAGTGCTTATATTTAACAAGGTTTCCAGTTTCCTATTCCTACCTCCAAATGCCTTAAATCTCTCTGCAGCTTCAACTAAGCAAGGCATACCACTCATTACAAATAAGGAAACAGAATTTAATCTACAAACTCTATTTTAGATACATATTTTTTTCAGTTAAAATTCTGCAAGAATCAACAATACTATTTAAGCCAGGGGTACCCAAAAAGTAAATCCCCAGATCTTCTAGAACTACAGCTCCCACAATGCTTTGCATGCTTTTATAATGACAAAGCATCATGGACATTGTAGTTTTAAGACATCTGGGGATCTACCTTTTGGACACCCCTGATTTAAGCATTACCAAAGTCCTTGTGCACCTGCTTTTTTCTCCAAGTTAAGCCCTGACATACTTTATAGGCACTCCTTTTAGTTAAACTGACTGTGTAGTTTGAACTGACCATGGTGCTAAAGAAAACTACTGCGACTAATAGGGTTATTTACTAAACTGAGAATTCAAAGTGAATTTCAACTTTAATGCCAAAGTTGCCAAATTAATTCCATAACTAGATTAAATCATTTTTCCAATTCAGGTATTTTAACTAAATGGAAATTCAAAGTGAATTAACTCTGAATTCTCTCTTCAGTAACTAACCTTGTTACTTGTGGATTGATTGCTTTGGGTTTAAAGTAATCACAGTGAATATGTAATGTATTAATTATTGCATTACCATGTACAAATGTTTACCTTTCTTGTCCATGTGGGGGTTTGGTCAGAAAATCTCAAGGATATCTGTTTAATAGTTGTGCATTTTTTTAAACAAAAAAATTAAGGTTAAAAAAAAAAGTCATTCCACTCAGAGATGCGGTTTCAAAATCTCTGCTATGTCTACGCTAAACATTTACTTTTAGAATTATAGATTTAAGATCATGATACATGTTAGTTTGGTATTCCTGAACCTTAGACCCATTGGTCATGTCATGTGCTGCCTCATTCATATTGTGTTGGGAAAATGTCATTCTAATCTGTACTTTAAAAGGAATTTGGGGTATACCCTGAACATGTACATTTTAATATTGGTGCTTCTATTAAGACTATCAATATACAAAATGTACAAGGAACTTAATATACACAGATAAGTACAGCTTCAAATCTTACACGCCAAAGCGACCACTGTGTCAAGGAACCCCAATATCAATGGCTTTTGCTCTCATTTTTATATGACAAACATTTTCTTGGCAATAGCCCTGCTTTAATTCCTTCCAGAGTATTCTCTCCAATTGATGCTTTATTATGGTAATGTCTACTAGGGTACATGGTGTGTGTAGAAGGGTGAGATGCTCAACCCCCAAAACATATTGCTTAAGACCCGAAATATCAGGCAATCTAGAACATGCATTTCTGAATAGAGCATTATACGCCATGCACAAAAATGAAACAGTACACACACGCAAACAAGATACAGTTGCATAGGTTACAAGTGCACCTGTGAGTGGAGTCATTGGATGTTCATCCCAATGGGTTCGGTTAGTGACAACACAGGACCAACAACAGGATACTGATGTAATAGTGAGTCTGATACGAAACGTCCACATGGTGTAAATTTATGCCCAAATTTACATGAGACGGATGATTTTATGTTGCTCTGTGAGATTCGAAGCTGCACATTTTTTGTCAGCCTGTATACTGTTCCCTCTTTCTGCAAGTTCTCTAGCCATATAAAAATGGAGAATGTAGTGATAGACTGAATGCCTTCGTTGGCATAGCAGCAAAAAAAGCTTCTTAAAGAGACCATTTTATATATATATAGATATAATTTTTTTTATATGAATGTATAAAGTTGAGAAAATGCCAATAATAGAAAAAGCAATTCCAGAGAGAGCAGCATATTCAATGTATGGAAAAGTACCTTTCTAACAGTTCTACCTTTTATTGGGAAGGTAGTACAGCACAGGTAAGTGTGTTTTATAGCATTTATGGGTGCTGGTGCCATTAATGTACCACAATGTTCCAAAGCAGTGATTCGCAGCCTTTCTTGGACTAAAATACACTTCAGCGACAAAACAATTTACAAAACCAAACTACTTTATTTTAACGCATATTTCTTGGTAAACTATATATTCATTTTCAGATGGGAATCACAATGTTAATGCCTGCGTCTTTAAAACAATAAATATTTAAGGACTCCATTCAGCATATTACAGTCCTGAAGTCAATGTAGCCATGGTAGACTTTGTAATGGCTTGTGGCACAACAGTTTGTTGTGGCACATTGGTTTAAAAGCACTGCTGTAATGTTCTGTTTAAAAGAGAATACATGTCATGTTATACTTTGGCGACTCTGTACACTCACATGCAAAATTAAAAAAAATAGCTCAGGCAATGGCTGAACTTTAGTTAGTAAAATATATTTCTTCCCTTTATGTATGTTTGTTCTATGTTGTTTATTATGTTTACAAATTGAAAGAAGAAAAGTAATTTGACAAAATTAAAACAATGTTACTTGTTAGATGATGATCTACAATGATGTTACAATGTTATTTGTTAGATGATGATCTACAATGATGTTACAATGTTATTTGTTAGATGATGATCTACAATGATGTTACAATGTTATTTGTTAGATGATGATCTAAATCATTGTTTCCCAAACCAGTCCTTGAGACCCACCAACAGTCCAGGTTTTGTCAGTATCTCAATTGGAATAAAAGAGGTAAATACATAGATAATTGATTGCTGGTGAGCCATGCAGACTGGTTTGGGGACCACTACTCTAAATAATGCTTTGAAAGTGTAAAGTATTATAGTATTTAGCTGCAATAATATGTGAGTGAATAAACCTTGTCATTGTGAGCACACTTTTTTCCTATTGCACAAAACTGCAGCCGTATAAAGTTTAAATCACCGCAAGGTAACAGTTGTTTCGCTTACCAAAAAAGGTCACCGCAAATCCTTCAAGGACACATGCCCACGATCCTAAGAAAAAATAGCCTTGGCTGTTAGTTGCAATACTGACACTGCCACCAATAACCGACACTAAAAAGTCTGCCACGGACAAGTTTACAATGATGTAGTTCAAAGGTTGCCTCAGTTGTTTGAATTTGAAAGTAACAAGAATGACAATAAAGTTCTCGACGATAGAAAGCGTGGTTATCAGGGACATTAGGGCAGTCAGGAATTGAAAGTTCCATGGTTCGATGGATGTCAAGCGTCTGTCGAAAGGATTCCACGGAGTAGAGCTTTCTAGGATGGCAAACTGTGACTCATTTTTTGGCATCTTGACTGTAGTTTTGCCTTCTGCAGTCCAAGTGAAGGATAGATGACAAACACTTGGTGGAACACAGTGTCAGATGACGTTCGTCTACGGCAATGTGGTGTCACGCTGTCTTTTTGGAAGTGCTACTTTACTCTTAAACATAATAGCATACCAGAAGTATTGTAAGCAAGCAAGTAAGCAAGTGCATTCCTAGTTAATATGAGTGCAACATTTTCTGTTCTGCAGCTTAGTGACACTTCTGTTGATCCATCCTTGCATGTTTGTGAGTCCAGTAGCTTTTGGAACAATGTAGAAATTCCCTTAGTGTGTGTGAGTTTCTTTCACTCTGACAGCAGCTGAGCTGAAACATTGCTCAGCAATCCCGTTTTGTAGAACACAAGACTGGGATCCCTCCCTGACAGAATGTTAAAGAAGAGGTAAACCCAGCCTTGTTAACAGTAGGGAGGGGATTAGACAAGAGGATGACTTTTATTTGCTGCTTCAGGAACCAAAAGTGCAGAGAATTACAAAGACAGTGTATGCATGGCATGACTGATACACTAAAATATTTAAATCCTGGAATATAAAAATACATCTTGTATTGATCACCACAGGTGCTCAAACAGTTAACTTTATTCAGAGGAGAAAAAGAATTCTAACACCTAAAATGTTAATCTTTGCCTGCTAGTAAAAAATGATAAATCCCACTTTAATGGAAGCAGAATAAAGGGTTTTACACTTAAACCAATATTATGGGAGTAAACCTCCTTAAATGGTATAATTACGTACTTTTTTTTTTTTTTACAGACAATACCGTATTTGTCACTACTGAACATTTTTTTAAGAGAACAATAAAGAATGTCATTGTTTTCTTGGATTAAAAAAATATTTATAAAAATGAGGATTTAACGGTAAACAATTTCTTTTCATATGGATTTTAAATAAATATAAGGAATATGTAATCTCAAAAAGCAAATAATGTGATTAATAAAGCCCTAATAAAGTCAGGTAAGAAAATAAAAATCTACTTGACTCTTAAAAGCATTTTCCCCCTTCCGATACAAAATCAGCAAATTGCATTTTCTGCTGAGAAAATGTTGTTTTTATTTCATGTTACAAACACTAATCTTCTTCACCCCATACATGGAATATTAGTGGCTAATACATAGTTATTGTAAAATATCGCATAATTGTACTCCTTCGCACATGTTTTGTTTTGGGGTTTGGTTAACTGATTTATAGACTCTTTGCTGTCAGACAAAGAAATGTGTGTTTTTTTATAAGAAATTTGTGATTTGAGCTCCAAGAGCCTTCAGGCAGATTTCAGTGAAGGTTTTACTTTAAAAAAAATATATAAATATAATTGTTTCATTTTTATTGCCTGACCAAAGACCAGGTGTAAAAGCCAACAGGTAAATTTTTTATACACTTGGTTTTTTTGATCCCTTCAGTCATCCCCATATGTATTCGTCCTTTTCATTCCTGCCACTTTTTATTACATATCTTTTTGTCCTCTTGCCTAATTAGATTTTAAATATGTTTAACAAATAATGTTCAGCTGTGCCACCACCTGATATCAAAAAGAGAGCTAATTCATAATTTAAATGTGTTGTATATAGGAAATCTACAGTGTTCGCAGTAAGTGGTGCACCTTTGAATTGGTTGCTGGGTTCTTGCTAGATATGTATAAAAAGAAAAAAAAAATACATATATATTATTATTATTATTATACTTATATAGCGCCTTCAAATTCCACAGCGCTTTACAATGGGTGGACGAACAGACATGTAGTTGTAACCAGACATGTTTGACGCACAGAAACAGAGGGTTGAGGGACCTGCTCAACGAGCTCACATGCTAGTGGGAGTGGGGTATAGTGACAAAAAAGATAAGGGAAGTATTTGGGAAGTAGATTGGTAGAATAGTATTCACTGAAGACTTAGTGTTTTTTTTTTTTTTAAATGACAGTTGCAAGGGACGAATCAGTTGGGAGCCATTAACAGTTTAATTGATACGCTTTTGTGAAAAAGTGAGTTTTTAATGATTTTTTGAAGGAGTGGAGACTGGGTGAACGTCTAACGGAAAATGGAAGGAAGGAAGTTCCACAGGAACGTTGCAGCCCTAGAGAAGTCTTGAAGGCAAGCGGCAGAGGTGGGAGTAAAAACAGAGGACTGACGTAGGTCTTTGGCAGAGCGTAGGGGCCTCGACGGGACATACTTGTGTATTAGGGAGGATAGATAGGTGGTGTGACAAAAGTAACCTCATCACTGGCTTTTGGAGGGGCCTGTTTGTCAGCCTCTGCCTCAGGACTATGGGCCGTGCAATATACCTTGCCCAATGCACTTTAAAAGGCTTTGTTCATGTGAAATATGTACTTTTGTACTCCAGACAGAGAGACCAACCATTAGCCCTAATTATCTGGAACTGTTTTAGGCATGGGACTGTCGGTCAAATAAATGACTTCCAGGAAATTCCTGAACCCCTGAACTGATCTGGGTGATTTTTGGATATGTTGGTCACCCAGATCAGGGCTATCAGGATGTAATATTTGTGGGGTTTTATGTATTTTTAGGGTACTTTTGGGGCATTTAAAAAAAATATGTTTTTCCTGTGCTTGGAGATAATTGGATTAGAATTAGTACAGTTACTGATCTAATTATCTCACAAGCAGGGAGGAGGGATTGTATGTTTGTTATGGGAGTGTCTGGCATTTAATCACTGTTCTTATTGGTCTGTGTCTTTGTATTGGAGTTCCCAACAAGGTCCATGAGGGCGTACCCCTTGCATTGGGATTGTCATAAAAGGCCAAGTGTGGCTCCCATTAAATTAAGAACTCGTTTACCGCTAGAGGGAGTCTTGGCTCATGTTTGGGGGATAGGAGAACGGCATACACTCTGGGGAATTGCTATATCACAATACTCCCCTGAGTATAATCACTAGCTTTTATAAGAACTGTTCCTGCTACGCTCTCTGGACTAGGAGAGGTCTACCCACTGGAAGCTGAGTCCTGGTCTTGGGTACAGGGTAGGTGGAGGACGGTGAGGGTTTAAGGCGGTTATGGTGTTCCAGTACAGTGCTTATGGTGCTCGCAGGTACTAGGAAGCAGTGATTGACGCGGGTACCCGGTCGGGGTGCCAGGCGGTTCGTCACAGGTGGAAGTAGCATTATGTAGAGATTTGAAAGCAAGAACCAGAATTTCATATGGAGCCCTATATCTTATGGGAAGCCAGTGCAGGGACTGTCAGAGGGGTGAGGCGTGGGAGGTGCAGGCGGACAGGAAGATGAGCCTCGCTGCCGCATTCATTTGTCACGGTAGTTTACCCCTACACGCAGGATTTAGTTCAACAATCGACAGATAGAGCAGGTACGACTTACCGGATTACAAAAATATTTATAAAAATGAGGATTTAACGGTAAACAACTTCTTTTCATATGGATTTTAAATAAATATAAGGAATATGTAATCTCAAAAAGCAAATAATGTGATTAATAAAGCCCTAATAAAGTCAGGCAAGAAAATAAAAATCTACTTGACTCTTAGAAGCATTTTCCCCCAAAGACCAGGTATAAAAGCCAACAGGTAAATTTTTTATACACTCGGTTTTTTTGATCCCTTCATTCATCCCCATATGTATTCGTCCTTTTCATTCCTGCCACTTTTTATTACATATCTTTTTGTCCTCTTGCCTAATTAGATTTTAAATATGTAATGTTCAGCTGTGCCACCACCTGATATCAAAAAGAGAGCTAATTCATAATTTAAATGTGTTGTATATAGGAAATCTACACGCAGGATTTAGTTCAACAATCGACAGATAGAGCAGATACGACTTACCGGACTTTAGAATGTCCAGACTCGCCGTATAGCAGAGAATAGACAGAGTCAAGAACAAGCCGAGGTCAACGGAACAAAGAGACTGCAAGAACAAAACTAGCCAAGGTCTGGTACACAGTAGTCAGTAAGCCAGCAAACAAGACAAAACAGGGATAGAGAGATAAACGGAGTCAGATACAAAGCCAAGGTCAAGCACGAAAATCACAACTGAACACAACAAGCGCTAAAGGGAACTGAAACAGAAACCACGATAGGGCAGGGAGTTAAGGGAGAGGTAAGTATAAATACCCTAAACTTTACTTTGATTGGCCCCTGTCATATCCACGCCCCCAAAATGTGAGTGTCTGGGGAATGTGGGATGACAGGTGCCAATGGGAGCACATTTCATCTTTTGGCTCCCACTGCCCCTTTAAGAGCGTGCCCGAGTCGCGCGGCACGCTCTTAGAGCTAGGCGGGACACGTGACTGCATCTCGCGGTCCGTTCCCGCCTTCATTTGGGAGCTGCGCGCGGCGGGAAGTGAGGACCTCGGCCGGCCCAAGGGTAAGGTAAGTACAGCTACATCATTATAGACTGCAATGTGGCAAGTTAGGAGCACGTAAGACCACTGAGAAGCGGATTGCAGTAGTCAAGGCGAGAGAGGACAGTGGCATGGACCAGTACCTTAGCTGCATCTGGCGTTAAGTAGGGGTGGATGCGCGCAATGTTTATGAGATGGAAGCGGCAGGATTTGGTAATCGACTGGACATGAAGGATGAAGTAGAGGTTGAGCCTGCGTGGTGGAGCTGATTGTAGCACCATTAACGTGGAGGGAGACAGAAACGGGAGTAGCAACAATTAAGGGAGGAAAGACCAGAAGTTCTGTTTTGGATAAATTGAGCTTAAGGAAGTGCTCAGCCATCCAGTTTGCACCACTCCCTGTCACAGGTGCCTCATTCCAGGGTCCTACCTAAACTTGCACAAGGCAGAGAAACCCAGGAGGAAGGATTTCCCAAGTAAGTGGATTAATCTCATAAGACCAGACATTAGGTTGCTAGAATAGAGCCTGCCAAAAATGGGGTACATTGTCATTGTGACAGATTATTGCAATGTATGATCATATACTGTAACTAAACCCCCATTATTTTTGCCAAAGTCAGGTGTTTTTTAAAACTATTACTCCAGAAAATAATATTTTACAAAACAGAAAGACATTCTAATAGTGAACACAGCAATGTATAACTATTTGCAACAA